ACAGACAGACAGAGAGAGAGAGAGAGAGAGAGAGAGAGTTTGGGATTTAGGGGCTTAAGGGGAAACTGTTAGGGGATGAAGAAAAGCGATTAAAGGCAAAATAGCAGAAATAATCAGTGGTGACACGCAGCCCCAAGGACCATCAAGAAGGAAAATTAGAAATGTTATGAAAGGAAAGGCCTTAAAATAGAACATAACTTAAACACTGAAAATCTTGAGCAAGCTAGAAAGCAAAATTAAGATATTTAGAAGGAAATTAGATAGAATACATGACCTTTCAGAGTAGCTTGAACTTCTCCATAACAATAAGCACAATCCATGGCGGGGATGACTTTTTCTGTTATTAGTCTGCAATTAAGGCTCGCTTCCATCTTTTCATCATCCCCCCTTTTTTTCCTCTACCAAATTTCCTCTACTGTGTTTGAAAGACTGTGGGCCGATGAGGGAACCCTTTCCAGTCTGGAGTGAATGGGCAAGCACTCATATATTACTAGAGTTTTGGGGGAAAATGCTTATCAGACTACAAATCCCAGGGTTCCCAGTCAACACCATGAATCCTTGGAGTTGTAGTCCAAAAAGGTTCATATCTTGGGTACCTCAGTTGAACTCTCCTGCATATGCTGATGTAAAGAAAAGGAAGGGGAGAACCTTGGCATAGGGGTGGATGGAGCGTGATGTAAAATAGGAAATCAAGGAGCATTCTGATTTTGTAACCAAGAATACAGTGGTGCCTCGCAAGACGGGCGCTCCGTTTAGCGACAAATCCGCATTATGACATTTTTGCAATCGCAAAAGCGATCACAAAACAACATTTTGAATGGGGGAATTTCGCTGCGCGATGATCGGTTCCCTGTTTCGGGAACCGATTTTTGCTTCCCGGTGATCAAAAGTAAGGAGCATTCTGATTTTGTAACCAGGAATACAGTGGTGCCTCGCAAGACGGGCGCTCCGTTTAGCGACAAATCCGCATTATGACATTTTTGCAATCGCAAAAGCGATCACAAAACAACATTTTGAATGGGGGAATTTCGCTGCGCGATGATCGGTTCCCTGTTTCGGGAACCGATTTTTGCTTCCCGGTGATCAAAACAGCTGATCGTCGGGTTTTCAAAATGGCCACCGGGTGCTCAAAATGGCTCCCCGCTGTGTTTAGGAGCCATTTTTCGCTGCACAGGTACCCGAAATTGGCCGCCCCTATGGAGGATTTTCGCTGGACTGTGAGTTCCTAGCCGATTGGAACACATTAACCAGATTTTGATGTGTTTCAATGACTTTTTAATTTTCGCTTTACAACGTTTTCATTCTACAGCGATTTTGCTGGAACGAATTAACGTCATAATGCGAGGCACCACTGTATAATTTGCAGTTCCAAGCCCTTTGTTTTCATCTTAACTATTTAAATATTGTGATGTAAAGGGAATATCCTCTTTATTGCAAAAATGTTAGGGCATGGCTGTAAGTGTGGTTGCTTTCTGTTATTTTCTGCACAAATGTACTGCAAACATGGAACAGCTGTCTGACTGTCTCTTTTTGTCACAGGTGGGATTTTTTCCTAGCGAATGTGTTGAACTAATCAATGACAAAGTTCCGCAGTCGGTGACCAACTCTGTGCCAAAACCAGGTATGTATGTATACATTCGTTTTAAAGAAAATATGAATAATACTGTAGAATGTGGACTTAAAACTCTTCTTATTGTGTTTGTAATCAGGTTAGTGCATCCTGTTGTTTTAGATACAGTTTGCAATCCGGTTCATATGATGTGTCATTTCAGACATAATTCTTATCCATACCTGATTTCAAGGTATCAGTTTGCAAAAGTTTGCTTCAGTGGCCAATTTATGCTTTCAGTTGTTTTAATTTACTTTTTGAATAATTTGATTATTATAAATGTTGGGGGATATATGTAATACCACTGCCAGACTAGTTATCTTAACAAGAAATGATTAGTGTGGAATGTGAGATTTCTTCTATCCGTGAGTCTTTTCATGTTACCCTATGGAGGAAGCTGGTGTCTTGTCATGTAAAAAATTATCAAGGTTTTATGGCATAATTTTTTTTTCTTCCCTTCAGCCTGGCAAGCAATAGTAGACTTTTCGATTCAAGTTCAGATGCTTATGGTTTGCCTACTTCCTTTCATGCCATGTACTTGTGAATAGATAGCAGCTGGGGATGACAACATACCCCGCCCGGAGCAGACCTGGTCTAGAGGGGCGGGGTATAAATCTAATTAAAGTAAAGTAAAGTAAAGAACAGTGATTTCACCAACAATACATGTAACAGGTTAAAAACAAACTCTAGAAATAAAATTCAGAATAAAACCAGTGTTTAAAACAGGATCCCTCACCAACTTCTAACTCCTTAAAATCCCAGGAGAAATGTTGGCCTGAAATGGCCAAGCGGTTAAAACAGGATCCCTCACCAATTTCTAACTCCTTAAAATCCCAAAACTGTTTTTTCAGGAGAAATGTTGGCCTGAAATGGCCAAGAGTACCCTCTTAGCCCAATACAGTGGTGCCTCGCTTAACGGGCGCCTCGTTTAACGACAAAATTGCATACCATTGCATTGCGATGTTTTAAATGGGGAAAAATCGCTTTGCGATGATCGGTACCCTGTTTCACTTACCAATTATCGCAAAGCAATGATTTTCCAACAGCTGATCGGCGGTTCCAAAATGGCCGCCAGGTAAAAAAAAATGGGTTTTGTTTAGGGACGGATTCCTCGCTTACCGGGCAGCGAAAATGGCCGCCGTATGGAGGATCTTTGCTTTAAGGTGAGTTTTAAGCCCATAGGAACGCATTGAAGGGGTTTCAATGCATTCCTATGGGCTTTTTAAAATCGCACAGCGACGAAATTGCTTTGCAGCGATTTTTGCTGCACCGATTAACGTTGCTATGTGAGGCACCACTGTAATATTGTGAGGACTTAGGCTAATAACCTTGGGCTGATGGATTTGGGATTTTGTTTAAAGAAGGGAATCATAATCCACAACTCCCCAGAGGTGTATTGGGTGACATCCATGCCTCTTCCTGTGATACCTGAAATTGCCATTTGTCTCTCACTGAGGACCTAAAGGTAGCACAGGGATAACAATCCTGAACCAGCAATGTTATCTTATGTTATACTGGACAGAGGCCATAGTCCTTCATCCAGCAACCCCAAAGCAGCCATCTTGACCACATTAAAAGGAAGAAGTAGGGGACAGCAAAGGATCGAATGTTACAGCACTTTAACAAATTTGTTTCAGTGAAAGTTTGAGATCTTAAAAGGGACCACAACACTAACTAAAATTCTTTTGCACAGTGTAGTAAGTTGCACTGGAGTAGACTCATTGAACTAGTGGATTTATAGGCATTAGTGCTAAATGGTGTTGCTGAAATGGGGGCAGGTTAAAGATGATAAACACCCTGGCTTTGAAAGGCACCTGATGCTGTACGTTGCAAGAGTACCTTAGTGTTACAGCATCTGCAGCTGTATATAAATGTTACATTAGAAATTACTGTGCACTGAATTAATACTGATCCCATTTCTGGTGAATGGTGTGATCTCTTGATATCCTTGGAAATTATTCATTTTTGATACATTTTTAAGATATAGAACTAGAAATATAGAAAAGCTTATCTTCATGTTTTCCCCCCAGTTCTGTTGCACTTCTGGCTTAGGATTCTTTTAGGTTCCACTTCCCTTTCCCTCCATATTTGGAGCATTCTCTAGCCTTATTTTTGGTGCTTTGTTGTGCTCGAAGACTTCCTCCCGGCCATGCTGCCACTGTTGACACACCGGCTCCAAAAACGTAGGTCTCCTAGAACCAGCCAACCTATTCCTGTGCTGGAGTCTGGTCTTGGTTGGGGAGGGGGCAGGAGAGTGTACCACATACGTTCTGGGTGTGGAGTCCTCAAGTTCATATATATGTTGGACTGGAATGCCTCAGTGTTCTCTCCCACCAGCTCCTCTGGGACTGTGTCAGGCTGCTTCTGAAGGACACAATGAGCATGGAAGGAAAAGCTAGATGGTTAAACAGTTGGAAGTGGTGAGTCCATAAGGAAGCATTCTTCCTTCTGAGCCATTCCTAATCTGTGTAGTGGATCACTCGACCTTATTAGTAGAATCAGATTCTGACCAAGAGAAGCTATGCACATGTATGTTCTTGTACGCACATGAAAGCAACTTGTTTCCTAGAAAAGAGCTAAGATCCAAAGAGACCCACATATAAGCAGAGATGTGCTTCAGTTTGTACATGACAGGGGAAGCACTGGTATTATGTCTAGGTTTTCTTAGCTATGGTCCTTGAAGCAGGTCGAATGCTACTTCAGAGGTCTCTTGACCTCCAGGAACATTCTTTTTTGGGGTTGGGCGGTTGTCCTTACAAAATGCAGGCACTTCTGTCATGTGCAGCTCTTTCAAACCCAGGGACCAGTTCTGCAGTTTCATGGGACAAGGACTCTTTTCTTGTGGCTGTAAAATATTTTTTTTAAAAAAAGGAAGAAATTGTTTATTAAAAGCTCTATACCTTCCAGAGGTTGTGGTACTGTAGCTCCCGTGTTCTTCACCATCCACTGGGTTGCTTACTGCAGATGGAAATCACAGTCCACCAAATCTTAGAAAGTCATAATTTGTTCCTCCCTGGTCTAGCTCAGTGGTTCTTAACCTTTGGGATGGAAGTCACAGTCCACCAAAGCTTAGAAAATCATAATTTCTTCCTCAGCCAGCAGAGCTGATGGTGAAGGCTTCTGGGAGTTGCAGTCCAAAAACATCTGAGTAACAAAGGTTAAGAACCAGTGGTCTAGCTAATAATCATAAAACCTCTGTAACAGGAAGTACAGGTAAATCTCCAACTCTCCGCCACCGTATTAATATCATGGTCTAGCTAATAATCATTTGTTCTAACCATAAAACCTCTGTAACAGGAAGTACAGGTAAATCTCCAACTCTCCGCCACCGTATTAATATCAATAGTCCCATTAATCTTGTTGCTGAGATTGCCAAATGCATTTCTCGTGAAAGGAAATGCCTATATGTGTTTAGTTCTAAAATGACGGACTAAATGCAAACATAGATGCCATTTCCTTCATGTACAGTAGTTTGAGTTTTGCTTGTCTGAACAGTACGATTCTATGTGGTATGTAATTCTGTTTGTAGTTGTTTGTAAACCAGTTGTTATCCATTGCTTCACTGCTGAAGTGAGCAGTAAAGACGTGGCAGGTGTTCTGTCATTCTCAACTTCTGTGTTCTATGGTATTGAGCACATCAGTACTATCTCTTGTTTATCTCTTGTTCTTTTTAAAATTTTGCTATTATTTTGATTTGTTGTTACCAGTAATCTAGCAAAGGATAAATCATCACTTTTCTGTAAATGTTTTGCATGTGTTTCCGTTAACATCTAGCGTGTCTTTCACTTCATTCTGTATTTGCATGTTGTCTTGGGCTTTCGTTAGGTTGATCGTTTCTGAGAATAGAATGGTAACGAGGTACAAAATGAACTTGTTGTTTCTGAGTCTGGAAAAGGAAAGCATCCTGCATCCCAGTGGTCCCCAACCTTGGGCCTCCATGCTAGGTTGATTGTTTCTAAGAATAGAATGGTAACAAGGTACAAAATGAACTTGTTGTTTCTAAGTCTGGAAAAGGAAAGCACCTATTTCTAAATGCTTTAACTTTGGAGTATTCTGGGTAGACATTGTAGTATTTGCATAAAGTGCTAATCCTTTTTTTCCCCCTTTAACCATGAAAATACAAATAGTTCTCACCATACATAGGTAAATAATGGTAGGGAATGTCACACCAAAGTGGAAGTGATATTCATGAAGAACATCTGGATGTTTACTGCACAATAATTATGCTTTTGATAATGGGCCTGATGGCAGACTGCCTAGACACAGTTTAGCAGTTGTAACTTTCTGTTACACCATCGTCAACAGGATTTCACCCAATGAATGTCTGGGCTTGCTGCTATGTCTGCCATACACATGACGCACCGTTGTATCCAAAGGTAAAGGTTCCCCATGACATTTGTAGTCCAGTTGTGCCTGATTCTAGGGCACGGTGCTTATCCCCGTCTCCAAGCCATAGACAGTTGTCCATAGACAGTTTCCATGGTCATGTGTCCAGCGTGACTGGACATGGAACACCATGACCTTCCCACCAAGGTGATACCTATTTATCTACTCACATTTTTACATTCGTTCAAACTGCTAGGTTAGCAGGAGCTGGGACAAGTGATGGGAGCTAACTCCGTTACGTAGATACGATTTTATGATAGCTGGTCTTCTGACCTTACAGCACAGAGGCTTCTGCAGTTTAACCCACAGCACCTCCACGTCCCTCTATTTGTATCCATACATCCCCGTATAATATGCAGACCATAAATTGGTAGCTGATGTATGCAGGTGTACAAAGCAGCTACAATGAGTGCAGTGAACAGCTGGTCAATTGTCAGATCCAGCTGAAAGTTGTTGGTTTGTAGTTGGAAGCTGTGTTGGGCTGGGAACCAGTGGACCTCCTAATGTTGCTGGATTCCAACTCCCATGAGCCCTACTAGTGAGGGATGATGGGAGCTGGAGACCAAGAACATATGTACAACCGCATCCAGTTAAAGCCCTGGATTACAACAAAGAGTTCTGTTCTTGTTTTCCAGTTCCTCTCACCTATGAACTGTAGAGTTCTAGTAATTTCCCGTTACTTAAAGCTAGTGAACATGTCCTCTATTAAAAGAAGGGAGTGCCTTGCAAAACCTACTAGTGAGGGATGATGGGAGCTGGAGACCAAGAACATATGTACAACCGCATCCAGTTAAAGCCCTGGATTACAACAAAGAGTTCTGTTCTTGTTTTCCAGTTCCTCTCACCTATGAACTGTAGAGTTCTAGTAATTTCCCGTTACTTAAAGCTAGTGAACATGTCCTCTATTAAAAGAAGGGAGTGCCTTGCAAAACACTTCATACTTTCATCTACTGAAGAATGCTTTAAAATGCCAAGATTCTTCCACCTTATAAGATTCCTTTACCCTGTCCCTATTATGATTTTGGTGTTAAACATCTGTGAAATCCTTTAGACACTTTCCCCCCCTTTCAGTCATCTGTTATGGATATAACTCTGAAAGTTGGGAGGCTAGGCAAATTATGTAAGGTTTTAAAGGAATGATGTCATGGTATCTAAATACAATCTAAAATTCACTAATTCAGTAGGAAATCATTTTTTTTGCCTTAGGAATGGCTATAACATTCATCTGGGATAACATGTCAGATAGTTTTTTGTGTGTTTTATGTAAATGTCCTGTTTTTTGTTGGATTTTATCATAAAACCACATTACAGTATATTTAAGCAAGCTATGGGCATATTGTGCTCTGTTGAAGAGTTTTAGTCCAAGAACATCTAGGGACCCAAGGTTGGGAGCCATTGCCCTACACCCTTATGGAAGGGGTAGTATGTGGAAGAGGACTCCCATCACATTACGTGCCTGAAATTGCTAGCGGAATTACTATAATTTTCTGCCTATAAGACACTACTTTTTCCTAAAGTCACTACCTTAAAAATTGAGGGTTACTTCTTCTACACAGCTGAGATACAGAGGCTTCCTTCAGCCATGAGGCTTAGTTTCAAGTAAGCTGAGATACACCTTCAGCCACGAGGCTTAGTTTCCTACAGTCAGGAGACTTTGCTTCCTCCAATCACAAGCCTTATGAAACTGACGTCAGCTGATGATGTAGAAACCAATTGGAACACACCTCCTTGGAGGTGGAGCCTGTAGGCTCGAGATTCAACAGAGACTGTCCGACGTTCTGAGCCCATTGGGTTAGAAAATTGGGGTCTGTGTGTCTTATAAATGGGGGCGTGTTATAAACGGAAAAATATGGTATTTGAAGTGCTCTAGAAATATAGACTTTATACTAATGCATTTCTCAGTTCTGATTTTTGTACATAATTTATACACTCCTATTAATTTCAAGAGTCTTAGATCATGGAAGTTAAATTCTGGAAGAATCCCGCATGGAATGGAAATGTATGTCTTTTAAAAGGGTTGCAAACGAAGTGTGTGGTGTAAACCTTTACAGTTTTTTTAAATGAAAATGTCCTGTGCTTTTTTTAAAAAAATTTTAAAATGGATGCTTATTTTAATATTATTTTTTTTTCTTTTGGATGATCCTTTCCCAGTCTCCCCTGCCCATGGAGCCCGTCCAGCATCCTGGAGTTACTTCCCCCCCTGTATGTTTTCATGCATTCCTTTTTTTCCCTCTATACTGTATCATCTTTTGTATTTAGCTGAGTTAATGTCTGTCGTTTTCATGCATTCCTTTTTTCCCCTCTATACTGTATCATCTTCTTTTGTATTTAGCTGAGTTAATGTCTGTTTGAAAGCAATGCGAGGAAAATAGAATGGATTTATTGTGCTTGCTAATTTTGCAACAATAAAAAGTTTGCCTTTCCCCAATCCTGAGGAGGAACAGGAATGATATAAATCCTAGTTCATCTTGTTCCACATCTATACATACATCTTCCCATGGGGTGCTGTTAAGATGGCTCCATCATTTCACGATGCAGTTATTTATGGCTTTCTGCAATAGCATTTATTAGAGTTGCTTTTTGTTGTTGTGTTCCTCTAATCTTTATAATGCAAAGTCAAAACATCCCCCTCAGTGGCATGTTTATGACTGATAAACAAACCTAAATCTTCATAATGGAGAGTAAAAAACGCCTCCCTTAACTGGATCTGCAGAATTAAAATTTGGTTGCTTCTTCTGGGCGCCCTTCCCCCTTGAGCAAATGTGCGTGTGAGCATTACATGTGCAGATGGAGGCATTCTTATCAGCTTAATTTCTGCCAGTAGAGGGATATGGCTTTATCATAAACATGTTCCATACACATCATATAAAGAGACTGCCAGTATCTATGAAATGCTTCAATAAAATGCTTTCTGTTATTTTTATTAATTTCATGGAAATGCTTAATTATCTGATTCATGATTAGAGGCCGCAGCACTGGTAAGGTTTCGCAACCTTTGTCTTAGAAGGCAAAGAATCATAAAGAGAGAGTAGACAGATTGCCAAGGTATTTATAGAATAAGATAGTTCCCTACTGACAGTTACAGTAGAGATGTGGGGTTCTTTAATGTTACAGGGAGAAAGCAAGATGGCAAGGAAACTGTAGAATAGGTTTTATAGTGTGTGCGCTCACTTACGGGCGCATACACTCTTCCCTGGCTTTCTTTCAGTGGCTGGCCTCATCAGTATTAGGGAATGTGGATGCATCTTCTGTAGCAAGCTAGACACAACCATTAACAAGCTAGATTAGCTTTCAACATGAAGAAAAGATCTGGCCTCTTGCTCTGAGTAGCACAATATGGTCATTGGGGGAAAGTGTAAAACCAAATGTAATTCCATTTATAATGCTTTTTTATGTGGCCACAACAATGGCTGACTTTTGGTTCCAATGGCTAACCTGTACCTCCCAGTTCATCGGGGTTTTAAAAATGAAAAAAAAAATACAATTCTTTTAGGAAAAGTGTTCATGCACATGCCAGCTCAGTGATATAAACAAAGTGAGCTTGCTAACAACATTGATCATGGCAACCAAACCTCTCTCTCATCTGAAAATATGACTATACCTTATATAGATTATATGGCTATCCCATAGCGAATGTAGACAAATTCTGCCACAATTCTTGTTGGGTTTGTTTATCTGAGTCATGGCTATAGATTTAGTCATTTCTTGGTTTGATTTTGGGATACTGTTCTTGATAAAGCTCATTTGTGAAATGAGAATAGAATTCTCCATATTCTATGGAGAATATGAATTCGCCATAGAATCTGCGGATTCTGCAAATCGTTCTCAAAACCCCAGCAGGCCTTGCATTAAAACTCAATATAATATTCCAGAGTGCATCTCTGGTGCACCTTATAGATGTTTTTTTTTGCAAGGGCGGACTGCTTCTACATTTTACTGTTCAGAAAGTGCTAAAAAGATTCCTCTTCCCCCAATGGACCAGCATCCTAGCATGCACTGATCCATGTCTTTTTCGGTGATCTGGCGGCATTTCTATATTTAGATGCAGTGTAGGGTATGTTCTGATCCTGGGTTTGGTACTAAATTAGCAGACTGTGCTAGTGCCTACGATTTTTTTTTCTTTTTAACAATTAGCTTAATTTTGTATTAAACTGACATGTCCTTTTCTTGCCTCATTCTTCCCCTTTCCCCATCGCCGCATGCAGATTTGGAGATGGATAGTATAAAACCGGGTTCAGCATGTGTTTCAGAATCTCTGAACCGGTCTCAACCAAGCTCAGGTAGAGCACATTACAGTCAACTGTGGTCTCTTAACTGTACTAACTAAGGATTCTAACTTTGTCTGTACCGGCAATAATACCTACTAATGGATTTAGTTATTATATTAGAAGGTAGTTGTAGTTGCATCCAGACAGCTGTTTATTAAAGGCTGGCCAACTTTTTGCCTGTGTGTAAATGTGCATGCAGAATGTGTGTCTCGACCGGCATCCGATTCAAACAAAATCGTTGAGATCATTACTAGAGTCAAGATTTTTTTCTTCCTCTCTCGAAAGAGTTCACAAATTGTGTGTCTCTTACAAATTTTGAGTCTTATCAGTTTTGTGTGTGAACTTTAATTATACCCAGCTGTTGTCTATTTCCACAACCGTAGGGGACTCTGGCCGTTATTGGGGAGAAGTGAGTGCAGAGGATGACAAAGGAGTGAAATATTGTTGAAACCCTGTTGTGTAACTGTAGCTCATATGACCGCATTATGTACGCAGCTGCAAGGCTATAACTAGAGACGGTTATGCTGTAGTTGTCTTGACTACGTCGCAGGAGTTGGTGAGGATGAGCATCTATTGGAATAAAAATAACCAATGGATGGTTATATGACTCATGAATGCTGGATAATCTGCCTGCGTTAAAACAGTTATTTAAAGCAGTTGTTCACAGCCATTCACTAAACATACTCCCCCCATCCCGAAGCCATACTGTTATGCTTACAAAGATGTGAGGAAAGGCCAGGGTTTGGCATTAGAGGGAAGATAAGCCTAGTATTGATTTTGACGGGAGTTTTTCTTCTACAATATGAGATCTTTAGTATTGAACAATCCGAGTCCCCGTCAGCAGCTGAAGTGACATGGGAGAACTATTCCTCTCTTGCTTCTAATAGCCATTCATCATTTTCTCTGTAGGTCTGAGACCTCTTTATCCACACTGCCTATGCTATTCAGTGATCCAGTGTGGTGGAGTGTTGGGCTGGGAGTTTGCGGGGATGGGGAGCATGGGATAAAGTCTCCACTTGGCTAGGAAGATCCCGCAGTGATCATGGGCTAGTGCCCCTGTACCAGCCTAACCTTCCTCAGAGGGTTGTTGTGAAGATCAAGGGAGGAGGAGAGGAGCCATCTGTACCCCCTTGGAAGAAGGATGGCCTATTAGTGTAAATAAACAAATGAATGCCTCCATTGTCGTGCCATGCCTGGGAGCATAGCTATATACCTGTGTTGTTGAACACAGGAATCAAAAGCTTTGCAAACACAAGAAATGTCAGTGGTGCACGAAAACAAAACTAAGCTATGGGCATATTGTGTTCTGTTGGGGAAAGTAAAGCCCCAGAAGAGCAAGGGAGGCAAAGGAGAAGATTTTCATATGTCAGAGTGCCTTGTAAGAATCTCTGTTACCAGAACAAAGTTATTTTGGCCCAAGTCACTAAAAAAAAGAAGGTAATAGAGCTTCAAAACGTTATTTCATGCACTACAACTTCCAGACCCTTCCCACTATCCATAGGCCATGAAGGCTGGTTCGTGATTCAGTTTGTAGTCCAAAAAGGCAACATTTCCAGGAACTAGATTGAGATACTACAGTGGTGCCTCGCATTACGACATTAATTCGTTCCAGCGAAATTGCTGTAGAATGAAAACGTCGTAATGCGAAAATAAGAGGCAGTCCTGAAACGAGCAAAAGAGACAGTCCCGAAACGAGGCAGTCCCGAAACGAGCAAAACCAGGGAGCTGGCTAGGGGACAGATTGTAGTTGTCTTCAGTTTGTCACTTTCGAATTGGCCTCCTCAGCCACACTAGACGCTGTTCCAAGTCCTCCATACAGAGCACATTACCATAGTCTCTCGAGACTGAAGGATGCCTACAGGATAACTACAATAGTGTGATAGAGTTTGGATTGGCATTAAAAGCCTTGTGATATCAGTCTTCCACAAGTGCCAAAAGCTTGGCTTTTAGTTTGGAAAACTAGTAGGATAGCATGGTTAAAGTGCTGGATTTAGATGAGAGGAAGCCAGGGAATACCTGTGTTCAGTTCTCTGCTCTTTTGCAAAAGCCTATGGAGCAAGCTTGGTCAGCTCATGTACCTTTCAGCCTAGAATACCGAATCTCACAGAGTTGCAATGGGGATGAAAGTGAGGGTGAAAATTGCCCCATCCTCCATGGTGGTCTCATGGGATTTTTAGAAGAAGATCAAGTAGATAACAGGAGCAGAACAAGCCAGAATTAAGAGTCCTGATCAACCATGGAAACTCACTAGAGGGTGGCGATCATAAAACCACTGCCTAAACAACTCATGTTCTTTGAAAACACTATTAGGGGTTCCATATGTGAGATGCAACTTGACAGTGCATAACAACAACAACAATAACAACAACAACAACAACAACAACAACAACAACAACAACAACAACAACCACAGAACGCACCTTCCCACCGAGATGGTACCTATTTATCTACTCGCATTTGCATGCTTTCGAACCGCTAGGTTGGCGGGAGCTGGGACAAGCGACGGGCGCTCACTCCGTCGCGTGGATTCGATCTTACGACTGCTTGGTCTTCTGACCCTGCACCACAGGCTTCTGCAGTTTAGCCCAAAGCGCCACCATGTCCCCAAACAACTCATGTTCTTTGAAAACACTATTAGGGGTTCCATATGTGAGGTGCAACTTGACAGTACATAACAACAACAACAACAACAACAACAACAACAACAACAACAACAACAACAACAACAACAACAACAACAACATTTATACTTTGTTCAGTGTATTATCTCCTAGCAAAGAATGGTGACTTGCCTTTGAAGGACCCACATAGGATATTATTAAGCATGCAACTTGACAGTGCATAACAACAACAACAATAACAACAACAACAACAACAACAACAACAACAACAACAACAACAACAACAACAACATTTATACTTTGTTCAGTGTATTATCTCCTAGCAAAGAATGGTGACTTGCCTTTGAAGGACCCACATAGGATATTATTAAGCAGATAGTTCTCCAAACGGAAGAGTGTGGAATATTTAGGATCTTCACAACTGTGAATGCACGTTCCATTTCTCCTTCCACTCTCCACATCCATGGGTACCTGCATCTGTCCGCCATGTTGTGCCTCTGTGCTAGGGTGGTTTCAGAAATTGATGAGAAAAGGAGAATGCTAAAACTCCGACATACCCAACATCCTCCCATTGGATTTGAACAGACATACAGGATCTGTGTTTCCATTTCTTTGCTGGCCCACGTCTGCCCATTCGCTCTCTTTAAAGGGGAATCTGGCTGTTTCTGTTTGCCACAAGCATAGTACCATGGAGCAGTATAGTGCTTATCTTTCAGAAGAGGAAACGGGCTTATAATGATGCTTTCTACAGCCTGCTAAAAACATACTCTAGACATTTTTGATAAATGCCACTCTCTTTATCATTCTCTTTTTCATGAACAAAAACAGTGTGGCATATACAGCGGAAGGGAGGACAGTGAAACTGAATGAAGACAGGGTAATAGGAGTTAATGGGTATGTCTAAGTTGATAAAGGAATGAAAAGAGATGGGTGAAAAATGAGTAGTGTGCATTAGTGGAAGTGGCAAATTCCTGAGAGACATTGAAAATCATGGAGGGATGTCTGTAGGTGCAAAATGAAGTATTCCATTTTATTGCATATCTAAGAGGACGTAAGTGTTAGGAAAGCCCCGATTCTCAACACTCGCATTTTGTGCATGAAGAATGTGTACATCTTTAAGTTGATACCTTCCTGTGTCCCATCTACTTTGATAGGTGTGATTAGCTTTCATTGGCAGGATACGTCTTGGCAATATATGAAACACTAGATATTGCAGCTTCCTTGACTCACCATTAAGATTGCAGCTGAAATGTAAAATGTAGGCAGATGGCCAATCAAATTGGAAGTGTATGGCATATGGAAGTGCCCCTTCTGTTTTATAACGGTATGTCCACAGGCAGTTGCTATATTAGTGATCTGGATTCTTAGCCTGGGTGTCGGAATCAGAAAAAAAAACCAACTCTTTCGCTTGTATGTGCGTAGCTAGCTGGATAGCTCAACGGCTTAGGCATCAGGCTGCAAAGCCAGAGGTTAAGAGTTCAGCTCTCCACTAGGGAAAAGAGCCAGGTTGTGTGGCCTTGGGCAAGCTGCACAAGCCCAGGGCACCCCCAGCAGAAGGGAAGGATCAGTTTACGTATTGAGTATTCAATACCTAAGAAACCCTGGAAAGGACTGCCATAGGTCAGGATTGACCTGACAATTATTATCATTAATTACATACATAGATGAAATGCATGCATGTGTATAGATACATATTCCTAGATTCCCAGTGTGGTGCATTGGCATTCTACTATTATTATTATTACTACTACTACTACTTTGGAAACAATAAATTTTAATAAATTTTAACCAAGCAATATAAACTAAATGATGAAAAAAAACCAAAATGGTTTAAAATCATGCCAGTTGCTAATAAGTTCCTGAGTACAGGCACACATAAGATTTACATTTAAAAAAAAAACTAGAAATGCTCTACATCAACACAGGAGCATAGGACAAAGAGAGGTATCAGTGAAACATAGGATTCCATAGACGTCCCTGGAAAGATAGTAGAAAATGTAAGTCTCTATAATTGTTTGCAAAACTTCTTAAGGGAGGCCATATGTAGGTATCAGTATAGGATTCCATAGACGTCCCTGGAAAGATAGTAGAAAATGTAAGTCTCTATAATTGTTTGCAAAACTTCTTAAGGGAGGCCATATGTATCCTTACTCTTGTTTTTAAAAGAAAGTTGGTTTCAGCCTCTCTGATATGTTCTTGTAATAATGGCTGGTAATTTGATAACTGACGTTTCCAAACAGTTAGTATTTGGCAGGATAGACTGACTGTCATTCACAGCTGAATGACTTTAAAAACTTAGCAAAGAAGATTATGTTTACTCGTTTCTGCTTCTGGGACATAGCAATACCCAATAGCACATTCCAGGAATCTTTTCTAAGCTGTCATGTTTAA